TTTGCTACTTTTAGACGCTGACATGTTGCATCATATCGTTTTTATGAATCTATGTGTATCCTAGAACACGAAGGTGTATTTGATGTGATTTTAACAGTGATAACGACTGCAATTTAATCATTATTTTTGATGAGTTGTTCTCGGAATTTTCATATTTTTCCCGCCTGTCTGCATACTGGTTGATCTACGGGCCAAACTTTCTGAAATGATACATTAGTGAAACCAAAAATTTCTAAAATCTGCCAAAACTCTAAAACTACATTGACGCAACGTATCACGTTTGCATTAACAATAAAATGGAGAAAGTTTAACAACTGTGCAGTCTGTTCACAAAACATGATTGAAGACAAAAAGGATAACTGTACAACTTTTACAGAAAATATTATAAATAAAAAATCTATAGAATACTGTTGTACAATTTGCACTGCAGGTTATTTGAGGTCGTTACTTCCTACAGGTGCCCAAAATTATGTAGAATACTACAGAATTTCGTCCTATAGAAAATGGGACAGCCCCAAACCCACCCCAAAAAACTCTCGAGAATGTTCTACATAATTCTAAAATTCCATTAAAAAAACCTGGTAATCTATACCTTTAAGTGCCTGTGATAGGCATAACGAGTCGTTATTTGTTAGCAGAGCCTTAAACAACCGGTCCTATCGCTGTAACAGTTTAAAAATGGATAATCTAAAATAAATCTATTGAAAATTCCAGTCCAATAGATTTCTGGGCGAAGTTATGGATGTTTGAAATTTTTACAAGAATAGCGTAGTCTCGCTTGGTATTACTACGATAATTGACGAAGTTTCGACTTTACATTTTTTCGCTATCCACTTAAATTGTGCGGGTGGTATAATCCAATTAATATCCAAGCTCTTGGGATTGTCATGTGAGCAAATGTCTAAATAATAATTTAGATAGTCAGAGTTAGCACCGAATCAAATAGGCATTATTTGAAAAGAAGTGTAAAGTAAATATTGATTCATTAAAAGCCATGAAATTCCGTTTTAATGTTATTCTGTATGTTTACACTTACAGGCTACAACAAGGATACTTACCAGCCCAGAAACAAAATAATAACGGTCAAGGCACCGATCCAGATATCAAAATCGACCCTAGCATAATTATAATTTATTGCCATCTAAAGTTAACAAAACTTTCTATAGGCTTCACGTCACTATGAGCAACACATTCGATTGGCCTGTAACCGGTCGACGGATCGCTCATTACTATCCATGTACATCGAACTCAAGAAGGTACCTTCCAAATTACCACCCAAAGAACACTTTTAAGCCTTTATGTTTGTTTATTTGTTTATTATTTAAATAATGAAAAGTGATTATAGTCCTTCTGGCGCACTGCGACTTTGTATTACGGATTCGCAAGCCACAGGATGCAAAATATACAGGGGGCTGTAATAGTAACAATGAGGTAGATAATAAACAGAAGTTTATCCAACCCCAATGCAACCCTGATCCAAGTAATATCTTCAACGCTTGATTCCGAACCCGCTTTGGTGTCAACCTCTTGGTTCGAATCTGAATGACCCACGCGATTACCAGATAAGCAGCAACCGAACCGAGCCAGACAATGTAGATATTTCGGTACTGATGAGTCCAGCGGTCTGTAGTACCAGTTCAAAATGAGAACTGAAAATATGATGGATAGCGAACTCAATACCACGAGAATCAGCACGTACATACCTAGCAGGGATATATTAAAGGATGCTTTGGGCATATCTTCTGAGAAAATAGTGAGGAACACCACGAAGGACAGCATGACGCTAATTGAAAGCGTCATCTTCTCGCCTCCTTCGGGCGGCAAGTAGAAGACCATCACCGTAAGGGCAGACAGAACAAGAATAGGTATAACAATAACACACACGTGGAACACAATTCTCCTTTTAAGTCTGAGATTGAATGTTATTTGTGATATATTCTTTACTTTCAACTCATCCCATGACGTTTTGATTAGATCCCATTGACCATTTTCACTGTATTCATCCAAACGGAAAGCTGGGGTGTCAGCTACAAGCAAAATTTCACTTGTCTCTGAAATTTCTGTTGCAAACGTTATACGGCAAGCCTGTGTGTCGAATAGATAGAATTGTGTGTCCAGTGAGCAACTTGTCGCAAATAATGCACCAGGTCTCCAGGATACACTACCGTCATTACCAATTCTTACAAACATTTTGTCATTTCCGAGTCTGTGTTCAGTGATGACCGTATTCTCCACAATGATATCCGGGGTCCAAATTTTGTCTTGGGTTATCAAAATAGTTGTTAGGTTATCAAAATCACCACTGTTCCATGCCAATAACGGATCAGTCCATTCTAAGCTTAGCCACCCGACTGAGTTCAGTTGTTCTAAGCTCTCTTTTAAATCTGTTACATCAAGAAGCGAAAATGATATTCGAATCTGTAACGGTTCTTGTAAGCGATCAGTAACCATTGGTCGAATTTGTTTATTGTACTTACTGGAAAATAAATCTTGATAGAGTGTATGGTGAACCGTTTGATTTCCATGACAGAAGTAGATGTTTAGGACAAGCACCAGTAATAGCTGGACGAGTATAAGCTCCATTATATTGTCAAGCACACTGGATGTCTCTGTTTAAATGTGAGTAGTTTGTCATGAACATGCTTTACTTATTGGATGATGGCAATCAATAAATAAAGAACAAAACATTTTTATAGTTTGGCCATATATTATTAATGGCTTTTTATCATACATGAAACGGAGCAGAATAATATTCACCTATGGGGAAACATATATTTCGTTTTAATACTGTTACAGTATATTGTTACTTATATTTTATGTATGACTAATCGACAGTCATCATAGATCTTAACCGTTAACTGTCGAGTAATCTCTTTCAAAAGTGAAATATGGTATCCACAGGATACAAATATGAACAACTGACACTAAACGCTACAAACTACAGTATGACCTTTTCATGGATTCTTTTCAATGTTATTTAGTATGTCAAAAGATGATCCTATCGATTTTGATGTCGATCACCGAAAGTTGTGAAATTATGACATTTTCGACTCTGCTGGTTACATTTCTTCGTGGATTCTTTTCATTTTTAGTTTGTAGGACTCCTATCGAAATTTGACTTTAATACTGTCTTTTAGTTCCAGTAAATCCGGACGTACATTTTAGACTTTTAAGGAAGCCTTCAATCTCGATTTAAAAGGCGCATTTTTGACTTTTGGAAGTTTTGGCAAATTGGCAAAACGAACCCACTGACTGATTACGATTGATTACCACCCAAAAAAAAAGATATTACTGTTTATGATTATCACTGAAATCTCAGATCTGTTCAAGACATCGTGGAAATACACTTGATTATTATTTGAAAACGTCTTAAAGGCGAAGAAATGTTTCAATAATAATGTGTACACTTTAACAAATGATGTAGATACAATAAACAAGCGACATTTGGGGCTCATTTTAAAATATACTATTCAAAAAAAGTAGGGGATATTTGATTTTGGGGGCATAATACTAAAATATGCAAATGACTACGAAAAAAATCACTATAGAACCTAACAGAAGAAACATTTCCAGTTACATGTGACGCCCAAACGCACCAATAGCTACCGCATGGAATGCAGGTGATGCTTGGGATCATCTTGGGGGTCCAACCCAAGATTTGCACGACTCTGACTTTGAATGTTACAGTCATTGTGGCATTGAATTCCAGGGTGGAAACATCAGTTTAATTGTTTTAGTGACCAGAAAACAAATTTTGATATGCGTCGGCTTACCCAAAATGAAAGGTTACGTGCCCTTGGCATGCTACAGATCGGCACAACACAGGCGGTTGTGGCGCGGACGATGAATGTTTCTCAGTCTGTCATAAGCAGGCTATGGTCCAGATACCGTGATACACAATCTGTACAGGACAGACCACGCTCAGGTCGACCAAGGGCGACAACTCAAGCCCAGGATCGATTTATCCGTACCTTGGCCTTGAGAAATCGTGTCATCACAGCAAATCAGATCAGCGCTCGTCTTCAAACAGACACTGGTGTGAGAGTGAGTGGCCAGACGATTCGGAATCGACTGCATAGGGGTCACCTTCGCGCCCGACGTCCTCGCGTGATCCTTTGTTTGAGAGATCATCACATTCAGGCAAGACGTCGTTGGTGTAGGGATCGTCAACACTGGGATAATCGACGCTGGAGCAATGTGATGTTTTCAGATGAGTCAAGGTTCACTGTTGATTTTTTGGACAGACGTAGGAGGGTGTGGCGTCGTCGAAACGAGCGCTTCCAAGACGTTAACGTCATCAGACATGATCGATTTGGGGGTGGTTCTGTTATGGTGTGGGGAGGCATCACTGTTGCTGGAAGAACGGCTTTACATGTTGTTGCAGGGCGTGTTACAGGCCAGTACTACCGGGAAAACATCTTGGCAGTCCATGTTGTGCCGTTCGCACGACGTCATGGCCGCCGTTTCATCTTCAAGGATGACAACGCAAGATGTCACAGGGCCAGGATCGTTACAGGTTACCTCCAACAACAGAACATCACCACATTACCTTGGCCAGCACTGAGTCCCGACCTCTCCCCCATCGAGCATGTCTGGGACATGCTTGGACAGAGGTTACGTCAACGTCAACAACGTCCTGCCAATGTCCAAGAACTTGCTGCTGCGTTGCAACAGGAATGGGACAATCTGGACCAAAATGACCTTAGACGTCTCATTAGGAGTATGCCACGTCGGATCAATGCTTGTTTGGCAAACAGAGGAGGATTTACCCGTTACTGACTTGGTTGTGATGCTGTGGTAACTTTGCTGTTTGACCCCGGGTATCATTTTACCCTTATAATGGTCAGTCTGTGCCTTACTTAGTCTAAAGATCATTTGGAATAAATCGATGAATGTGAACTTCATTTCATTTTGTCATTTGTTTCTTCGTCAGTTTCATTAGGTGACTTTAATAACACTTAAAAATCAAATATCCCCTACTTTTTTTGAATAGTATATATGACAAGATTTACCATTAAAAAACATCATTTATGAACAATTAAAGTATTGGTAAGTTGGATTTTTGTGTGATATCTTTAGCCCAATACTAATATAACTATTGTTGAAAATTGACGATAAAAGAAAAAAAAACAATGTGAAGCGAGTATGCAATGAAATGAAATGGGGTTTCACTAGATAAGAATATGAACACGCGACCTCGGTTTTTTTTCGTCTCATCCGAACAATACGTTGTCCCTTGCTATGCTCTCAGTCCTACAACACTGACAAGGGGGAATCACACCTGAACACCCCGATGAAATTTCTAGGCCAACACCGGGATCGAAAACAGGACCTCCGGGTGAGCGAGCCAACGTCTTACTCACCGAGCCACCGCTGCTTCGAGCGAGTGCGAACCGTTCCGCTTATTGGCAACTGTATCAGTAAGGGGTACCAACACTGAACTATTTTTACATACACTACATCTAACTTCACCTGATATTAGTGATAACTTAAACAAAATAATGTAAAGAATTAACCTGTGGATTGATTGCGAGTAGCCTAGGCTAGGCCAATGTAGGCTACGTTTATCAACGAATCCTATTAGTCAGGGGGATAACTCTGAAACTGCTTTTGCGGAAACGCCATCTTTACACCACTACCACTTATTCCAGAATCAAATCAAATTGGTACAAGTAAGTGTAGACGGACTGACGGACGGACAGGGGCGACGACAATATACGACCACATTAACATATGGGCGTTAAAAAAATAAAGTTATTCTGTTTCAAAAGAAATATTCATTCAATCATTCATAGGGGCTATAGTATAACATTTTAAAAATATTACAGCCCTGAGCGGTATTGAGTGCCAAACTTTGTTATCGGATGGGTGAAATCGTATACATTTTGATTCATTTGAACCGAGTTGTTGCCTTTAAAAGACCATTCCATCGGGTCAATAGATTTGACAGGACCGTAAGATGGTTCAATGTTCAAACTGTGACATAGTTCAGTGTTCACCATACTAGCTATTCCAAGACATCCTGATAATCCAGTTGATCTGATACCACCAACACTTATCCAGTTCCTATAATACAAGAGTTAATAGGTTGGCCGTAGCCTTATTGTCAAATAATGCAATAATCTTTATAAGCACGTCGTATTTCTTATTATTTACAAGCACATAAATAAAAAATGACGGTGTAGGCAGGCCTATACTGTCGTCACCACTGTCTGCCACCTGCAACAATGATGCTCAACACTATTGTATTATAAGCTCGATTAGGTTTGGGAGTCAGGTTGAATCAGTGATTTGGTATGTGGCGAAGACAGTTCCCGAGGATTTTTGTGCATGGTGTCCGCTTGTCAGTGGTTCAGGACAGGGGGGCTCAGCAAGGACCATCGTCTAGTTGTTAGAATGGGACGTAAAAGAACCTTTGGCAGTTGGAATTCGATTAATGCATGTAGTATACGCGTCTTCATTATCTCGGTTGGTGCAGAAAAGTAGGATTTGCGCAGCCGAACAGAAATCGGCAAAATATCAAAAGCTACCCTTAATGATTGACAGCTAACTACACGTATAATGGTTCTGACTCATTTATACCATCTCTGAAAACAATACTGTGACAGACCTTCATCTGTGTTACAGTCAGACGAAAAGGTGCGGTTTGTGTTGCAATTTCTACTAGATTATATGCCTGGCTGTGTGAATTCCACTAGGCAGTCCGCCATGTTTTTGTTATTAATACTTCTTTTCAATTTCCAGAGAGAGAGAGAGAGAGAGAGAGATGGGGTTTAACGTCCACTCGACACAAACTAGGTCATTTCGGGACTAACATATGGTTTAATTTTATTTCAATAATTCGCTTGCGCGTAGGGGTCTTTAGCAGTGGGAGGAAACCGGAGGACGCGGAGAAGACCCTCGAGGTTGGACAGGCGACCCTACTCCTTGTCACGTACAACCGGGAATAGAAACCACGCCAGTTGACTCAATGACAGGCCTTATGATACAGCGCGCACGTGCTAACCATTCGGTCATCCAACACCCCGTTTAAATTTGGTGTAACTACATTACATTACATTACATTACATTACCTTACATTACATTACATTACATACATACCTGTCTCTATACGCTTTAATCTGATAATCTTTATATTGCGTAGCTGGTCTTAATCCTGTATAGTGTCCTAAAGGAAAATATTGGCTTAACCCGGGGACTGTTTTCTTGGTATGTGTGAAAAGTCTGCTTGTTATAACACTATCAATGTCAGGAGGAACCGATCTACTTTCTGTATCTTCTGCCGTTGGTCCTACTATTATGTTACCATAAACTGAAATTAAAATCATAGATTGAATTCAGACTTCGAAAAATAAGTTACGATGCATAGTATGGAAGGATAACGTTGCCAATATTATCTCAATGTTCACGGTGCAAAATTTGTAAAACAAAAATACGTATTTAGATTGAAATAATATTGGCAAGGTTATTCTTCCATAGCATAGGAGCAAAGTAAATCTACTTTTTTAAAAGCGGGATTGGGTTGCCGCCACTTGCCGAATGGTCTAATACTTTAGATCATCTGGTCTTTCATCGAGTCAAGTGATGATTTGGTAAAAAAAATAAATACTTGCCGGTTTTAAAAACGATAACACCCTTTGTTTTTTCAGTAGGTACTGGCAATATGCTTGAATTAACCAAATGTGCTGTGTTTTTACCGTAGACTGTAAATTGTCCTTTTCTTGGATATATCCTGAAAAATGTAGAGTTACATATGGTGTTTGGGGAAGTTGTTTGGGGTTTTTATTTGTATTCTGTTATTTTCTATCTTATAGAACTAAAGTATCATCAATCCCGAAGGCCAATGAACACAATATGGGCGTCTTGGTAATATATGACCATATCTAACCACATTTCTTTGCATTATTTAGGCCTACATCAAATATATGCATCCGAGTCTTGAGTATGTGTTAATTTTGTTATAAGTATTTCATCTTACTATACCTCCCGAAACCACGCCAGTTGACTCAATGACAGACCTTATGATACAACGCGCACGCGCTAACCATTCTGTCATCCAATCCCCCCAGGCAAAGGTAGGAGATTCTCACTCTCTCTGAAATGATAATGTACTGATGTACTGAGGGTTGGGGCTGAATTCTGGGAAAACGCGTATTGTCCAGTACGGCGCGTATGTTCGATTCAGGCCCAGATTCGAATCCGTGACATTTCTGAATGTAAAAGAAGGATGTGTCTGTCAAGCTACCACTGTCGGAGTTTAACGCCCGCTTCCATACAAAGTGATATCGCAAACATTGATCTTAAATGGAAATCCTAGGATGGTCACGCACACGCCCAAGCGTGACAGAACGGATTCATTAAATAAACATACACCGTACTCAGGAAACCAAAGGCAAGGAATTACAAAAAGAACTGCAAAACTTCTGATTTACCTAAATGATTGACAACCCGCCATTTTATCCACTAAATCACCATGAAGACCAGAACAATTAACAACGGCTTTGGCAGTGATTGGTCCATGAGATGTCTGCAATTCACAACTGTTGTGGTATAGATGTGAAAACCCAAACATTTCGCATCCGGTTTTAACCTTCAAAATGACAGATTTAAGAAATACTTGTTTCTATGTTATCATCCTCGGTATTCCCGGTGGCATCGCTCCGTTCTAATCCGCAAGTAGAGTAGAACGGAACAATGTCACTGGGGATCCCGCGGATGCTATGATATCTGATGGTAAATACAGTATTTTGTTTATTTGTCGGATGACGCTGTGACAAACCCTATTAAAAATGTATGGAAAATTAAAACGGACTATCGATCCGTGTCGTAGCTATAGAGTTTGTGCCACTCGGGACGGTCCTCGCGTTTTGCCGGACCCCCAACCACCAGACAGATATAACACAACACAATACACATCAAACATACTCAAAATTTCCAAAATAGAAAAAAACCTTTTTATTCAATGCAGCAGCTACCCCAATGCGCTTGACTAGATAAAAGGCAAAATTATGATAGGCAATTCGACATTTCTAAGAATCACTCACTGTGATTACCGACCAAAGGGTCAATGTGATTCAAACATAGATCCTATTTCGTTTCGTTTTTTTTTTAGTTCAAAATGTCGTTGTACTTGTCTTAACTTCATGTAGCGTAGTGGAGACCATCGAAAGTATTAAAAAAAGAAACGAAAATTAGGTCTGTATTTTAATCAAATTGACCAAAGAGTAGGTCGTAACACCGTTGCCAGGGACGAATTTACTCCATAGCACACTTCATTAGCCCACTCGGTACATAACTGTAAGACATTAAACCCTATTTAATACAATTTATGTTATTTCGTACCATTCCAATTCCTTCAATAGAATGTTGTAATAATGACAGTGGGAACAACCAAGGATCAAGAACTGTTTCTTTCGGAATCCATAAACCACCAACCAGACCAGAATGAAGATGGCCTTCACGTTGATATACATCACTAGCTGAGAGTTGGAAGACATCATCAATTCCCTTTTCTATGGAACCTTTATACACTCTATCTAATTTAACCTTCTACAAAAAGAAATGGCTCACATTAAAAAGAAAAAAAACACCTTTCGGCCACGAATCATCGTTCGTACTGAAATGGTCGATACGAACGGAAATTCTAAGATGAAACTGGCGCTTTGACGATTTAACCGTGTATGCCGTTTGACGCCGCACTCTGGTTGGTTAATGGAAATATTTCGGGTAAAGAGTTCCCAAAAATTGTTTCTGGGGGCAAGCTTTGCAGTTCTCCGTGGGAACGAAAATTCGGCCGGATTCACGGTTATTATACACGACTTCATTCATATGTAGTTAATCATCAAATGCGACAGCCGCGTTTGCAGTTGCGGTCGCGCTCAGTATACACGGCCCTTTATTCTACGCACACCATCAGGCATCCCAGCCACATTACCTGTAAAGCATGAACAAACCTTACACGTTCAAAATGATTTGTGGTTGAAGTATTCTCCTATTAACCGCACAAAAAAAAATAATATTTGATACTCTGTAATGAATTCTGTTATAAAAGCGTAAACGAAGAAGTACTAGTAACTCTTTCGACCCATATAAGCAATACCAATAATGGATTGGACACTATTGTTTTTATGAGGTATCAATTATTCAGGTATCTATTATAATAGAAGCAGTAGCGTAGCGCTAGTATAAGTAAGGGGGCACGGTTATTTTATGAGGGATCAATTATTCAGGTATCTATGGTAATACCAACAGTGGTATTGCGCGAAAAAAGAGAGGGGACAGTAAGGCGTTGGCTCGCTAACCAGGAGGTCCCTCTAGCTACGAGAACGTAGCTAAAAACGTTGAGATATAGTGATGTGTTTGTTTTTATCTCTCATTAGATGCCTTTCGTTTCACCTGGCAAAATTAATTTCTTTATTAATGCATGTAACATCTTAAAAATAAATAAATTAATTTTATACTATTAGGACTAATTAAACACACCCGTCCAATGTAGTTGCGGCCCTATATGCGCGAATATCGGAAGGAACATTGTGTTATAAACATACATTTTAAGTTTCATCAAAATCGGATAAAAAGCTAAAAACGTGATTTTTCGTACAGAGGCCATAATCCATGAAGTTATGTTCCGAAACATGCCAATATACCTATATTGGAGGTAAACCTATATTTCAAGTTTCTTCAAAATCGGATAAAAATTGTGAACTGTAGAGTGTCCACAAACAAATTGTGGACGGGCGGACAGACAGGAGTGGCGACAATACACAGTATATAAAAAAACTGACAGTTTTACTATGTGCTTCGCATCGGGGTTCTTCCAGAAAGAACTAGTTAGTTAGTGTTAGTTGTATTTTACGTCCGCTTCCACCGAGGTGATATCGCAGAACTACATAGTACCATCTTTTATCTCGAGACACACAGGATCGAATGGTGAGGTTTCTTGTCTAGGGGGTCCCATGTTCTCTAATTGCGTTGACCGAGAAAGTTCAGCAGGGTTTTCCGATGTGGTTCCCACTTGTCAGTGGTGCAGTATAGAGGGTAAACGACGTATAGTCGTTCGTATGGGACCAAAAATAATAATTTGTACCTGTTGTTGTGTCCAAGCTACCATTGTAGCACCAATCTGTTTATATGGTAATCCTAGGTTTTTTAACAGTGAAAATACTTTCTCCTGACAGATCTTGATGCAGTATGATTCTACACTATTTAACTCGGCATCAAATCCAGTATGTAACATCCCACTTAAACAACCAAACACATATATTATAATAATATAGGCTATATTACCAAAAACAATACCTACATGAGTATATTCACAATTTTATTTATCTAAAGATGTCTCCGAAATACATAATCATCAATTGGTCAACATAGCACCGGGAAAATATATTTCTTAGCAAAGCATTATAGTTTTTACGTTATTTCATTGTTTTTGGCTACAATGTGGCCGCCATTATTTTGTACACGTGCAACGCGCAACAGATGACATGGAACACAATTACTCTTTATTACTGAGTAAAGTTTCGACATGTCTTTTCTAGTCTTTACCAAGCCTGGGGGTCTGTCATTGGGTCAACTGGCGTGGTTTCGATTCCCCGATTGTACGTGACAAGGAGTGGGGTCGCCTGTCGAACCTCGTGGGTTTTCTCTGGGTCCTCCGGATTCCTCCAACTGCTACAGCTAGACCTCTACGCGCAAGCAAATTATTGAAATAAAAAATTCAACCATGTGTTAGTCCCGAAATGACCTTGATTGTGTCGATTGGACGTTAAACCTGATCTCTCTCTTTCTCTCTCTTTACCAAGTCATGATACAATGATAAAGATATTTTGTAATGGTTGAATACACCAGTGGATTACTATGATATACAGTTGTAAAGCTTGTTATATATACAGGCAATGCATGTAACATGATACCATAACTCAACATGAATTAGTTACAGTAACCTAAACAAGGTTTGAAAATGTTAAATGAAATGGAGTCTAACGTTCTATGCAGACTGCACGGACTGGGCTAATGTAGTGTTTTAGATTGACTGGGCTAAAGGAGATAAGCATATGCCATACAGTGTGCTGTGAGGGAAAGTTTGCCTGGACAGCGGCACTACGGCCTAGGCTACTCTTATATCGAATTCCAACTGTCAAGGGTGGTTTTAAGTTCACGCCAATGTGTACACGGGGCCACGGTTTTTAGTCCCCTTCGAACGACTATCCGTTGTCCCTTGCCAGACCCTTTGTCCTGCACCACTGACAGGGGGAAACCCCGATGAACTTTTTAAATTAGGAGAGTGTAGAATTCACGTGGATTGTAAGGGTAACCAGTTTAATTATTCCAAAACCCTGGAACAGAGATAGTTAATTCCACACGCTTAGATCCCACATAAAACCATAAATTGCCACAAAATGTAAGATAGCCGAATTCAGCAATTTTAAGCCGACCTTTTCAGACAGCTAGACAAGTTAAGCCAGCTTAGAGAAAATGTAAGCTTAACATGCTGGGTTGGGTTATTTCTAAATTGTTCGTGTGAAAAAGTTACCCTCGGCCGCTTTACCTAAACGTCGGAACGGCACTTAAAACATTACGATCGTAGAAGTAATTGAAGATTCGTTTAAATTCTAAGAAATATTGTTGTTTATTTTTGTCATCGATGGTATTCCATAACTTGTACTATCCAAAATCACCAAGCTCTATAGTGGTCGGTATAATATCCTAACATAGTTACCTGTTTCCTGAGCTTGCCTCCGACAACACATCTTTATTTTTGTCCAACAGAAGACATTTATAGCCACAGTTTGTAAGCTCAAACAAAGTAGCACAGCCAACAACTCCACCACCTATTATAATAACATCAAGGTCATCCGCCATTGTTATGGTATCACATGTCCTTTATCTTTGCATTAAGCTAGGATTCTATGTGCACGCGATGTGCAGAGTCTCATGCATGAGCACGCAAACACCACACCAAGGGAATGTCCAAAATATAACGTAATGAAAGAGAGGGTATTTCAAGATGCAAATTGAAATGGTGTTAACGTCTATGATATATTGAGTCAACTCGCGTGATTTCGAATCCCCGGTTGTACGTGACAAGGAGTAGGGTTGCCTGTCCAACCTCGTGGGTTTTCTCCGGGTCCTCCCACTGCTAAAGACCCCTATGCGCATGCGAATTATTGAAATAAAATTAAACCATATGTTAGTCCCGAAATGACCTAGTTTTTGTCGAGTGGACGTTAAACCCCATTTCTCTCTATATATATATAATATATCCAAGTGGAGTATGTTATGAACTACATGTAGTTGGCCTATGCTATGAGGGGAAATTTTGACAGGAAATTCGGACTGTCAAGAGTTCTTTTACCTGCCTGCCAACGAGTAAATGGGTGGACCTCGGTTTTAGACTTCTAATTTCCCCACTAGCCCCTCTGACCATGCACCACTGACAAGGGGAAACTTGCTGGAATACCATTAGGCAAATGCAGGGATCAAAGCAAGGTCATACTCCTGGTTAGAAAGCCAAGCACCATTCACATTGAGCTAAAGTTGCTCACTTTCAATTAAATCTGTGTTTCGTTTTAGTTATGGTTCAGACTGTTGTCGGTTTCAATGCATTGGCTAAATTTGATCAGTGATGATGTCTTGGTTTGACTTGAACAGGGACTTTAATTTGGCTCTTTACAAGTAGGCTACACGACAAAGAACACAATGATATAGAGTTCCGTATGAAATATGTAAAGGACTGCAATAGATCAATTCTCTGGTGTTATAAAATAGTTTCCATATGAAAACATGGGTTTCACAAAATATTCTCAGACTTCAGTTAAGATTTAGAATTTACTCAAAATTGTTTGCCTTATTTTAACCAAAATATATCCCTTTATTAAATCATTAAGAAACTATGTGCAAATTTGTGTGTTTCTGGATCAAAGATATTTCTCATAAACAGCGATAGAAAGTTGAGTAAATTCTTAACTTAGGTCTGAGAATAATTTGTGAAACCGAGACCTGATGTTTCACCAGTCAAGTCTCATATATAAGTAATACAGGTACCCAGAAACAACAACAAAAATATTTTTTTCAATTCCATATAAATTTATTTACCTCCTTATAATGTATAGAAGAGACGGATAATCCTACAGACATTCCATATTGAACTTTTTTTTTTAATCAAAAGAAACATTTAATTTTTACATTAAAGATACAAGCAAGGGACATGGAACTTTCTTTTCAAACTAATAAATTTCTAATTAATCGAGTACTAATGACATTCACTCCTCTTAATACGATTGTGTCAATTGGCAGTGGAATTAGTTGCAAACGTTCATCCTTACTTTAATCTACCAGCTGTGTACATAGCCCATACATTTACAATTAATATATCTTGAGTGACATACATGTGCTACGAATAAAAACTCTAATTTCTCAAACTTCGGTGTGAGTATTATTTTGACATTAAAAATATTAATTATTATCAATTAATATATATATATATACAACTGAACACTACCCAACATACCAGTAATAAGTTTGTTTGGTATTAATAGGTTGGACTGCTTCACTGGGGAGGTAATTGCTGTTATTACATTGTGATTCCTCAAAGGGGAGGTAACTACTGTTATTACATTGTAATTCCTCATAGGGGAGGTAACTACCATTATTACATTGTAATTCCTCATAGATATTATCTTATTACCTTGATGTGATGATCTTAATTAGCGTCCATATTGTAAATTAAATCTGAATAATTATGCAACCAAATCCTATCTAATTTAAGAATATTTACACATCGTAACTAAAAAATGCAGGTTTTGAAGAGGCATAAAATATGAAAAAACATTTGGAGTTCAAGTGAGCAAGGTATAACAATGGAATGATAAACATTTCACATAAAATATATGATATAAACAAACAAGAGATCACTTATATAATAACATCATATAGGTTTTTATCATCAAAACAAACAAACAATAAAAACAAACAGAATACTAAATAAAACTAGATATAGCATCAATCACCTTTTCATTAATTAATAAAACACAAATTAGAAAATAATCAACTTACATGTTTATTATATATATATATAATATAATATAGGAATGTCTATATATATATTCAACATAATATTGTGTCAAAAAAACACACAGGAGTTGAAAATAAATTTTCTGGTACATATAAAATATTGCACGAATCATTGAATTAAATACACTCAACAATAAAGCTAACTAAAAATGGAAAGATTTGTTTAAATTAAATGTATTGATATAAAGCAAATTGGAATTCAAGGCTAAAACTTAACTAAACAACATAAAGAAGATATTATGCAGTATATATATATATATATATATACACATGTACAGATATGATCTATTTATTATCTAAAAATTCTGCAAGTATTTCCAGGAATCGAATATTAAATGCTATGGAAACATATCTCCTAGTATTTAAATGTAGATTCCACACCTAAATCTGAAAGAATACGACATGTAGAATCGAGATTAAAAAGGAACGAGCCCTTGTTTTACATCTACCGAACTTACACAGCCCTACGACAATCTATTACACGTACATTATCCACGTAACGTCTATCTGACTGTAAATCCCATCGTAAAATATGCTTTCATCTATTATATACACATCAATATACATATATCATTAATAAGTCACTCCTGATAATATTCTAAAAGCACTTGCTCCTTCATATTACAATCACTAGAAATCATATAGATTTGCCCTATATACTGCATTGATTGTTGTCCCGACATCCATTAGAGAAATATAAACTAATTAATATGTACATAGATTATTTTAACAGGAAATTAATGAAATGACTGAGGAATTCAATTGAAGCCATCAAAATGTTTCATGGATTATCAACATTAATTTGAAAACTACATGTTATTATTTATATCTTCTCTTCTATTTTCCAGTATAGCTCCGGTTAGAATTGTCTCCCCTTTGACTACAACTGATATTGGTCTGAACAAAATAGTGTGCATTTTCTATACACTGTCAGAGACTTTTGTTGAAAAATTTCTCAAAAGTCATTGTGTGATGTGTACCCACACAAACAGCTAGACAGTCAGTTTACCATGTACACACCTGACACTGTCTTGTCCAAAGCAATATTTGTTGCAGTCAAAGTTGAGACAGTTTATGCTGGACTGACAGAGACCTGTATAAACGTCACTGCCTAGTTAAAACATTGTGAGAATAGCAATGAGATTAATGACATTTCAATCAAGACATTTTTATATTTTAAATGAAACTTTGTATGATCATTTAATATTTTAAACATGTGTGAAGACATTATTTCCAAAATACAACAAATTTCAAAATTTTGGAGGCAAAGGTCGGAGACATTGCTCCCATAAAATGAGTTATGACTGGGATTAAGATAAATAGATGGTACTTAATGTTGAAAAATATCAGATTTTTTACATACAATGTAATATTTGACCTCCAATACCTCTTTTAAGCAGCTGATCGTAATTTTTAAGATTTTGAGTAGTCAATGTCTATTCAGTTTTACTTACGTTTTCAGTCATATTTTATAGATATTACTTTTCATTTGTTAAGAATAGTTGGATTTTGAAGATTTGATCAATTGAAAATTTCTCAAAATTCTGCTTCCTCTGCAGGCCAGCACAACCTATAAGTGTTGGTTAAAATCTTTGCTTTTGAATTGGATTAAATGTTAAATAATCAATTTTGAGTACAGATTAACCCGTGAAAAATTAGAAATTGTCCAAAAAATGAAAATGATGATCATGGAATGTAAATGATAAACTGCAAAATTGAGTTTTTGAAATGACTTAGTCGTGGAGCTATATATCAATGACATAACAACACCGCTCACAGTTTTTTGTTTGGAATATTCATGAATTACATAAAATTTGTTATGTAAAAGGGATTTGTCCTATTTTAGAAAGAACTCTTCACATTCTATTCTAGAAAAACTATTCAAGTCCCATTTTAGAAAGAAACTCTCCACTGTACAGTTAGTTGAGCACTTTGTTTTATTTTTTTTAGTAAAAAATGCCTTATTTTGAAATACCCGCCATCACCAATTGAAACATCTAGTCCTATCTAACTGGAATATATAGGTATATTTATATATATTATATAGGTATAACTCTCTATGCTGCCTACTGAGCATATAAATAAGCACAACCAATCCTTGATAACCTACAAGTAGGTATAACATATCTATTATATATATACACATACTGTACAGTTATATATACCAATATAACATATTACTGTCTACACCATATAAATTACAAAATGCAATTTTGCCATCGCTCTTAAACTGCAAATTGCAAGATGGTTATACATCAAAAGTTATATTTATATTCACTTCCCATTCAACTTAATAAAAGTTTTTTCAATTTGTAAACCAAAAAAAAAAGAACTTCTTATGGTTTAATTTAATCCTGGATTTGCACAATTTTTAAAAGGCAACTTTTTCCATTTGAGCAACATTTGATAAAACTTTTATTTTGATGGTTGGGAGACAAATTTAAATACAGAATTGAATAGATATAGAGCCATAACTAGCCATCTGGCAGGGACAGTTGTCTTAATATATAAAACACTTTCTTATGGATATTAATAGTTACATATACAATAATTATGTATAAAGTTCTGTAGTCTACTGTATATATAAATTACTTTATCTAATTGAATATTCATGATTAGTCCTATTATAATTAGTATGCAAATACTGAAAAACATTCAAAAACATTACAACTCATACTTAATCAATTTCTAGACTTTCTCATCTTCAAATCACAGAAACAATCACATAACCCATCTCTTTATTCTAGACAGGCTTCTTTCAATTGGCTCACTTTTTAAAACAGGTTAAAGGTAAAGGTGAACATCCACAGAAATAGTTCTCTGTCAAAACTACCATTCAATTTAATTCATAGAAGGCACGCATATGGCATTTAAGGTGCATTCTAAATATTCTGAATGCATTCTAACTGCATTTTAAATATTCCTACCATGTCCCAGCACTGTACATTGGAGCTGTATTCAAGAGCTAATACACCCAGAATGTGCAAGAATCATTGAAGGCGGGCTGAAACCGCATTCTAAGTATTCAATAAGTTTAGGTCAATATGAAATTCCCTCCTGAATATGACACGAATTTTGAGAATTCTCCATTCCAGTTGGTTCCTACTGATTCCGAATAAGTGTGACAGGGCCTTTATATTTAAACTATTGTCTGTATTAGTGCTGGGAAGTTATACTGTTAAATCAATGTAACTCGATTCATCTTTCACTCTCATGATATATCAACAGAATATTCTAAGTCGACTCACAATAAAATACAAACATCAATGTATTGCAGATCTAAGTTAAGTTTTATTTTTAAGTTTTATTTTTAAAATTTGTAATCTGACTATCTATCACCCGATACCAAGCTCTAGTCTACAGCAGTATCAATGAATTTTGCGTTTAGTTGACCTGATCTGACCTCATCTCTCAATTAGTCAATGTAGAAAATGTTTTTAAACACAGTATTATCCGGGGGTTTATGGACCCTTGATTATGTAACGTTTATAGATGGATTAGATTATCTCATTACTACTATTGTCTATTATCTCTGTCATAGCTGACCATTGTTAATTTACTTTAGATAATCCATCTTGGGTGCCCAGTTATGTGTAAGTCCCTTAATATTGGGTGAATGGCTGTGTTAAATACTACCTGGTCATAAAAGTCAAACTTCAAACTGATTAGAGAACGTATACAGAAGTGTTTAGATCTTCATCGGAAGTTCATATACATGTAGTTTTGACCAATAACAATAACTTTACTATTTTTATAAGTGAGCCAATTGAAAAAGGGTCTAATATTGCATTGTATAGCAACATCACACAAAGAATTTATACAAAACTTTGAATTTTGTAAGCATTAACAGTATTGGTAATTCAACATAAACAAATACTAACAAAATCTGCAGAAAATAAATAATTATTTAAATTAACATAATGTACAGTTCTTTTGTTATTTATGGATAAACATTGTGTAAGCAACAGGTCACATCTACTACAACTACAGGCATTTCGTTGTTATTCTGTCTCTTTAAGAGCCTGAATATTTAAATAAAACTAAGCCCAGCGAACATGTTTTAAATAAATGGCATATTAAAGGAGATAGACAATCTGATTTTACATTCTATAAAATAATAGATATTAATGACAGCTACTCATATCATCTTTAAGAAAACTGTAGGATTACTTATTCCTAGACAAATAGAGTCTAGTAATAATGTGTTTCATACAATGATTCTTCGTGTAAGTTTTTATTTATCCTCAGATATACTTAAACATACATTATGCAAGATGTAAATCTGCCTATTGTAGTTCTTTCTTTAGGCATGAAATGTTATATAAACTATTAATTAGACATTTATTAACAAAACAAGACAATAATCGACTCTCGATGGCATCGGATACTCGAGATCTCAAGATTTTAAATAGATTAGAACGGTGTTTAATTTAAAAATGGGAAAGCGAGGCCAAGTCGCGAATATACCAGTGCGCTAGTTACCACTATGCACACATCTTGTCAAAACTACAAACAGTGAAAATTTGGCTCAGAATGAAGTAATTTGAATGAAATTTTCAATATTTTCTTTTTTTTATCATATATTTTTGAATTATTATAGCAAGAATGACGAATTCTTTATTAAACTCTTAACTAATGTATCTTTAATGACATGAGTATAATTGCTGTTACATCTAGATTGTTGTGCCTTTGTCTAGAACGTTTTTAAAATATTCTTTAAATGGCATTTAGTAATTGGAACATAATTAAATAGAACACTATTTATGGATAACCATAGTAATTGTTATCCATAAATAGTGTTTTCTTTGAAAGTTTTTAAAAGTTGATTCTATTAGCTGTCACCAATATTTACTTATTGTTAGAAATAAGAAAAAGGTGGACCATCTCCTTTAATAGATAATGACTAGACCATCTTAAAACTTTTCTTCATTAATATTTTTAAATCTCTTGGACATTCTCCAATCTCTCATCTATAGGGTTAACCAGTTATTAAGAGATGTAAAATTTAAAAAAAATGACTAGGATCAGGTCTGACTAGGATATATTTAAACTTTTTACAAAACATAATTTTTAAACACAGAAAAAAATAATATTTTGAGAACATGCGATAAAATATCACAGGCAAATACTAATGAAGTCTTTACTATGTGACAAACAAGGTCAAGGGTAATCATTAGGCAAATTATTCAAAGAATTTTCATTTAAATAATCACTCATTATGAATTGCTGGGATTCTAGTCATGAATAGAATACATCATTAAATCGGACTCAAAAGTATAAAGTTCATTTTTTCGAGACAGCACAAAGATGTATACATACTGAACTTTCGGCCTGGTTGAAATTTGATTGAAAATTCCCAGACTATTGTTAACATGGGTAACAGATGCTACTAGTATTCATGTTAAATCTATACAAGGTGTACACTCTTTCTGAGGAGTATTTTTTTAATAGAAGTCTAAGAACGTAAGAACACTAACATTTCAGTTACTATTTATAGTTCTTTCAAGACAGAAATATGGAGGAAAAAAGACACAATAATATCTATTTCATTGATTATATACACTGATTGCTACAAAAATAATGTTATATCATCTTCTAAGCAGTTATAAAATCAAAAAAATGTTGATGAATTGTCTCCCCTTAGTCTTCAGAGGGAAAAATACTACTAAATTGTCTCCCCTTAATCTTCCAGCTAAACTATACTTTAAATATGAACTTTGGTATTTCTTTTACTTTAGAGATAAAGCTTTAACACTGCTGCCATTGAAAACATATGTAAAGCACAATACAGAACAAAAACTACTGTCTTAATCTGATATAATGCTGTCTAATTTTTCTACAATTATATAAGGCTCTTCTATAAAACAATGAACTTGTTATTTTGACTGACAGTCTCTTTTATTTTGTTAATCATTCTAACGGCTCTAGATGAAGTAAAATCCTTTAAATTAAAATAGACCATAAAGTAAAAATTACTGAAGAAACGTATAAATTATCTAATTATGATTAAAACCAAATGACTGAATAATTCCAATGCAATTTCCCCAAATTAGAACAGGAATTATTGTGGCTTTGAAAAAGAGCCCATCAAGTCAGGCATAATACTAATCAATCATAACTAAATTTAAAAAATGTATTAAGGATTGGAAATAATGAACTATTAACAGACAATATGAAAAATTATTTTATGAAATGAATACTCACAGAAGTTATCTATATATAGAAATTATCTATTAATAAATTTGTGTTAAGAATATTTTCCAATATAATTTATAAATAATTCTATGTATCATATATTGCTGTTAGATAATATAAATTAACTAATTTTATCTAGTATTAAGATTCAACGTTATCTGTTTGTTTTTGAGCACCATCAGGGGAGTCGGTTGTCTCTGTACCCGATTTGGTATCCACAGAAATAACTGTTTCAGCTGTTGGAGATTTGGACAGACCTGAAAAATATAATACAATACATTTATTTTAACCCATTACTGATTTTTCTATAAGAACACCCAATAAAAAATGTAGACCACTTTAGTTTATATACAACTTTAGACCATCTTATTGTATATTAAACAGCAGACGACCTTTATTTATATACAACTTTAGACCACCTTACCTTATATACAATAGTGGACATCATTTGTTTATATACAACAGTAGACCACCTTTATTCATATACAACCATAGACCATCTTTGTTTATAATATACAACAGTAGACATCATTTGTTTATATACAACAAAAGACCAGCCTTAGTTTATATACTAGTGTTATAAATAATGTTTTAACATATAATTATTTGACAGCTGCATGTCTACAATATCGAATTTTTCTCTGCTCAGTCTGTCCGAGCTAAGATATGCTCAAATTGATATTCACCATTTAATTGTGAAATGAAATGGGGTTTAACGTCCTACTGTTTTGCTCCGAACTGGGCTAATGAAGACGGGCATACACCATACAGTGTGCTATGAGGGAAATTTTGCCCGGACAGCGGCACTACGGCCTACTCTTATATCGAATTCCAACTGTCAAGGGATCTTTTACGTGCACGCCAATGTGTACACGGGACCTCGGTTTTTCGTCTCATCCGAATGACTAGACAGCTGTCCTTGTCAGGCCCTCCGTCCTGCAACACTGACAAGGGGGAACCACGCCGGAAAATCTGGATGAACTTTCTCGGCCAATGATAATATTTTTAGAGATTCAACTTTTACAATATTGTACCTAGAAAAGGATTCAATATCTCTCAAACGATGATCAGATTACTTAATGCATGACAATTTAACTTTATTCATTTTACTATCGCAATTTATTTTTATAATATAACAATTACAGCAGAGAATAACACAAGCCAACACGTTATTCATACAACTATAACTGCAAAGTGGGTAATGCATTGATTGGAAAATACCACATTCACGTCTGCCTGTATACATACACGTCTGCATACATACTCCATTGTTTAATAAGGTGATGTAATATCCCATTACATGTAGTGTTATATAATATGATGATATTTATCTATAATAGGATTACCGTGGTGATATAGTATACTCTAGAGAATATAGATTCTAACTGATTCATCAAATCAATGTGGTAATGAGAAATCTCTCTATTATTATCACAATATCACAATTATATCATATTTAGTGCTCACACAAATATTCAGATACTTGTATTCAAATAGTTCTTTCAAATCATACATGTCTATAAATTGTATTTTAAATCTATTCAGATACATGTATTCAAAGAGTCTTTCAAAGATATTCAGATACATGTATTCAAATAGTATTTCAAATCTATTCAGATATCTGTATTCAAATATTTTTCAAAGCTATTCAGATACTTGTATTCAAATACTGGCAGTTTGTCAAAGATATTCAGATATGTGTATTCAAATAGTCATTTCAAATCTAATCAGATATGTGTGTTCAAAGAGGTTTTTAAAGCTATTCAGATACTTGTATTCAAATATTTTTTCAAAGCTATTTGGCCTGAATTTGGAGTATTTGCTATTTAATGACAATTAAAAGTAATTTATACTAATAGAATTTGATATACTTTTCTCCTACAGGAAATATTTAATAATATTAATTCAATGAAATAAAGAGAAGAGGGAATTCTATATTCATTTCAAAACTTCCCAATCTAATAATGAAAATGCACAAAAATATTTAATTGGATTGGACATTCAATAATGACTGTGATATTATCTTTGATATTATCTTTGACATTTTTGTTTGTTGGTGGTACTCTGTGTTTTGTTGTCCAGTTATTACTGCACTGTTTGTTAGAAATGGAATGTGCTTTAATATCTCATCATCACAATGAGTAATATATTTTTGATTTCAGTGGTCAACACAATGTGAGGGAGAGAAGTTTGTCTGGACAGTGGTGTTTAAACTTATTTTTCATCAAATTCAAACTGATATGGGTTCTCTTATGTGCTCATCAATGTGTACACGGATGAACCAGTGTTTTTCGTGCCATTTTAACAACTACACACACTTTTTGTGTCAGCTCCGAGAGAACCACACCTGACCTGTGACTACCGGGCTCGAAGGTTCTTCTGAGCCCACCTTCAATGCAAACCCAGGATATTCTGGTTAAGAGGCAATTTCCTTACCACTTAATAATTGCCACCCCTTGTCTGTAAGAATATCTGAATAGTAACAGAATTGTTCAATACAACCATTATTTCTATTTCTGTCATATGATAAAATCTATTCGTTTAATATAACGTGCATTGTGGAGCCACTGTAGCTGACTGAGTATATGGCGCTGGTTTGCTAACCTAGAGGCCACAGGTTCGATCCCGGTGTTGGCTGAAAATTTTTCCGGCATTGGTTTCCTCTTGTCAGTGATACAGGATGTAGGGCCTGGCAAGGAACATCATCTAGATGTCCAAATGGGATGAAAAACCAAGGACAATTTGGTGTGCACGTAAAAGAACCCTTGATAGTTGCAATTCAAAATAAGAATAGGATGTAGCATTGCTGTCCTGGCAAAATTTCCCTCATAACACACTGCATCAAATATGTCCGTCTTCGTTAGCCCAGATGGCTCAGAAAAGTAGGATGCTAAACCCCACTTCATTTATTATAATGCATGTGTATGTAATATTAAAGCCTTACGATGGTGCTCTGTGATTTGTTAATTACCTGTTCTTAGGTCTTTTTATACCATATACTATCCAACTAGTACCCATTTACAGCTGGGTGTGCTACAATATACGGTTAAACTAGTACCCATTAAAGTGTCTTTTACAAGGACATGAACTGACCCCTTGGAATTATCTATGCAACAAAGAGAAGCTCTTTCTAGCCAGCTCCAGGAAGAATCAGTCTCTTGGACTTGGAGAGTCATGAAATATATTTGTAAAGATTTGAATGAAAGGACTGGAGTATAACATCCCATTAAGACAATACTGTTATTTATGTTTCTATAGTCAAGTTTGATAAAGAGGAGAATTTTGCTCAGAAAATAGCGTTTCCACCTAAACAAATTTAAACTATAAAGGGTTCTTTAATGTGTATGCCAATGTGTCCCCATCCAAATGACTAGACACTATTCCGTGGCAGGACCTTCGTCCTACATCACTGACTAATGGAAACAATACTTTCTTCTCAGCATTGTAGCAGAATTTTAGGAGGTTGTAGTAAAAGATTTTGGAGTTAATTACGTCTTACACAGTGCCTCTTTGGTTGGTCAATTTCAAAGTTAAATTTTCCTTCACATCTCCTCGTCATGTTGAAAACATAATACCCTAGATATTCTTTGTGAAGACATCAAAACAAACACTAGCTTCTACCTTTTAAAAGATTTTCTATGGAGCAGGCAAATTAAGCCTAGTCAATGATATCAATCGTTGAATCAAAATATCACGATCAATTTCACAGATTTCTGGTACAAAACGACTGCATTGAAAAACTTTTGCATGACAAGTCATCTGAATATTTCACGTTTACTTTAAGGAATATACAGACATTAATGGACTTAGGATCTAAGTTGGGTTTTCTTGTGGAACTTGTATAGCCATTTGAATCGTATAGTGACACGTATGATAACAGTACTACTAGTCAATAATTTTGAAATTATGTCAAGAAGTGACTGCGTTAATTAATTATTAATAAAAAAAAACTTACTACTGCTACTACTTTCATCCCAAATTTCCAGCAAATATTTTAACACTTCAATATGTTTCTTGAAATCCAATGCAGCTTCATTAGAGGTGATAGGTGAAGGACACAGCAGAACTGGACCAAAACAAATGGCTAAATTATCTAAAGTCATTTTATTTTTATCACTGTGAGCAGCTACCCGTTTTAGATGGTTCAGCACTTTGGTCATAGTTTCCTACAAAACAACAATAAATTAATTTTTTGTGTAGGTAAAAGCAAATAATAAACATATAGAAACTGGATAATTCATTTGTACATGTTGTAAAAAGGGCAGAGTCAGCTCAAAAGTTCACAGCCAAAGTCTGTTTTAGTGAAATGACTACTACTTATTAAAATAGGTTGCCAGACAGTAAGTCATCTCTAAGCAATCTACAGGTAATATAGGAGAGAGAGAGAAAAGGGGTTTTATGTCCACTCAACACAAACTAGGTCATTTCGGGACTAACATACGGTTTATTTTTTTATTTCATTAATTCGCTTGCGCGTAGGGATCTTTAGCAGTGGGAGGAAACCGGAGGAACCAGAGAAAACCCACGAGGTTGGACAGGCGACCCTATTCCTCGTCACGTACGACCGGGGATTCGAAACCACGCCATTTAACTCAATGACAGGCCTTATGATATAGCGCGCACGTGCTAACCATTCGGCCATCCAACCCACCGGTAATATAGGAGCAATCAAAAGTAAAAACTGATGAAGATAACAACTCGACTTCTAGTTCTTCCTAGTGCTAACATTTACTATACAGGACATGTAGGGCTATGTAGGCCTATCTGTAATAATACATTAACATTAACTGTTAGATTTATCAACAACCATTGAAATCCATCAACTACTAATAATCCAAGAATTAGCCTACTTATCAGAAATCTCTTCTGTTGAACCCATTTCTCTCTCTGATCTCAGATGGAAATAAGCCACCTGTTACAGTAACACGCACAAATTCATTATTTGAACCATGGACCTTATAATATATAAGGTCCATGTTTGAACTTAATTCATTATTTTTAGGCCTGTCAGCAATGGAGTTTGGTTCATTTCAAATTCTGCAACGTATTTAATTTGACTCCACACCTCAGCCAAGAATTCATCATTAATGTCTGAATTTGATTAATGCTAAACTTTATATATTCGCATATTATCTTATTTATACAATAAATGACATTTTTCAATTGTCATTTTTCAATTTTCAATCATCATCCCTATCACAACACCTGAGTAATCACACAAACAATAACAAATACCTGGATAAGGTAATAGGATAATTAATGTTTCCATATTAAATTTGATAGCAACATTATTTAAAAAGCAATAAATGTTCACATTGTTATCAGCAAGTTGAGAAATCTAATATAAAAGATAAATAGACCCATTACAACACATTATTAAACACTTATATCGAACATCTGCTGTTTTGGAAAATCAATTTATCAGAAAATAAGAGTTTGCTTTAAGTCATATACATGTACATGTAGTCTGTTACGCCTAGCTCACACCGCAGATTTTCTCGTTAATTATTAGCAATTTTAATAGCCCCCACTACTAGAAAAAGAAGGAGTTGCCAGGCAAGATACGCCCACATGTTGCAAGAGATGGATAGAGAACAAGAAAAACCAAAAAAACAACACAATTTTTCGTACAATTAGGGGTCATAATCCAATAAGTTATGGTCTGAAATGCGCAAATATCAAAAGGGACTGAGATTTTGGGGATATAAAGATACATTTTAAGTTTCATCAAAATCGGACAAAAACTGTGACCTCTAGAGGGTCCACAACCTTCATATTACATACTTTTACACTATTTACGTATAAGGAATGGTCATTTTGTCTGGCAGTTTGGGTCAGATTTTTACGAAATTCGAACTCGTCCTTCATTGATGTGGAAAAGTGATATATTTAAGCGTTTTTTAAGATTGAATACAAATTGTGACTTCTAGCGGGTTCACAAGCTAAAAATAGTACACAATTTGCATACAAATAGTGGCCAATCACAAGGAGCAGCCATTCTGTCGGGCAGTTACGGTCCGATTTTCACGCAATTCCTACTCAACCGTCATTAGGGTGTAACGGTGATACATAGAAACGTTTTTTTAAAAATCGGATAAAAATTGTGACCTCTAGAGGGTTCACAAGCTAAAAACGTGATTTTTCGTATAATCAAGGGCCATAATTCAGGAAGTTACAATTCGATATGTGCGAATATCAAAAGGAACCATGATCTTTGGGTTATAAACATGTATTTCATGTTTCATCAAAATTGGATCAAAATTGTGACCTCTAGAGGATCCACAACCCTGGTATACCATATTTTTACACTATACATTTTGCCCGGTAGTTTTGGTTCGATTTTCACAAAATTGAAGCTCAACCGACATTACAGTGTAACGGTGATATATTCAAACGTTTTTTTAAATTGGATAATAACTGTGACATCCAGCGGGACCACACGCTAAAAACGTGACTTTTTGTACAATCATGGGCCATAATTCAGGATGTTACGATCCGATATGCATGAATATTGAAACGAACCAAGAGTGACCACAAGCTAAGAACGTGACTTTTTTTACTATCAGGGGCCATAATTCAGGAAGTTACGATCCAATATGCGCGAATATATCAAAACGAACCAAGAGTGGCCACAAGCTAAAAAAGTGATCTTTCGTTCAATCGGGGGCCATAATCCATTAAGTAATGGATTGATACATACAAATATTGAAACGAACCAATATCTTTGGGATATAAACCAATATTTCAAGTTTCGTCAAAATCGGATAAAAATTGTGACCTGTGTAGTATCCACAAACAAACTGTGGACGGACGGACAGTGGTGACGACAATATACGTCCACATGATAATGTGGGCATATAAAACTGACCTATGTGAAGATCATTGCGAAGGAAACAGATATAGAGTTATCGTTGCAGCAATGAGTTACCTAAGAAAGAATGATGTTCAGGGACAAAGAATAGTTTGTCACTCTGAAATTGTATATCAACCACTGTGTATGCAGCAGCAAACAATCAGAGCCATGATAATGTATGTATTCAATAGTAAATTTCAAAATTTGAGTGATTTTGAGGCATTATTCATCAGAATATATTTTCAGAATGCAGTCTTTTCACTGGCTAAGAACCAAAATGTGCAGTAGAATGTTAACACTCAACCAATGAAAACACTGCATCCTTCTTAAAATATTCTGATTTAAAGTTTCATGAATAAAGTCATTGTACATGTAATTAAGATGGTGATAATAAATATTTTCACTATTGAATACAAAACAAATAACCATAAATTCCTTGTGCTGATGAAAAAAGTCCAAAATGTTCTCTATACATGTATAAGAGGAGCTGTGGTGGCTCAGTGAGTAAGACATTGGCTTGCTAAACTGGAGGTCCCATGTTTGATCCTGGTCTTGGTTGAGAAAGGTCATTGGGATTTTCCAGGGAGGCCCCCCACCTTATCAGTGATACAGGACAGACGGCCTAGCAAGGGATAATGCATAGTTGTTTGAATAGGACAAAAAACGAGGTCCCATGTACTCATTGGCGTGCAAACATTCGGCAGTTGCAATTTGCGGTAGCAAGGCTGTTTGGACAATTTTTCCCTCGTAGCACACTGTATGGCATATGAGCGTCTTCATTAGCCCAGTCGAAGCAGAAAAGTAGGATGTCAAACCCAATTTCATATCATTTCTTTTTTCTATATAAATTATTTATATCTCCAAGAGTTTTGTTTAGCTTGTCGCTAGAGATTATGTTTTTTGAATTTACAATATTATATGCAACAGAAAAAAAAATTCTACTGCATAAATACATGTATAAAGACCTCTATTACACTCATTATTATAGTGGTTTAATTATTCACAATAAAATCAGCATAAATACACTGCTTGAACCATAGAAAATACCAGGTTGCATTAATAAAACAGCTGGTACTGCATCATATTAAACTATATGTAGTTGAACTTACATTCTTATTGTTTGTGGGGGGGGTTGGATGGCTGAATGGTTAGCGTGCGCGCGCTGTATCATAAAGTCTGTCATTGAGTCGACTGGCGTGGTTTCGTCTAGTTATTCTAGTCTACATAACTCCATTTGATTTGGTGCAATGTGTCTAGCCTCGTTCCTCGAGTCTCTCAATACAACTGGGGCTGAAGCGCATTATGGTACACGATTCGTGTACCAATGTTAAAAAAATTATTTTATCTTAAATATCGGATATCAGAAGCTCATCTTTTCCCGGTAAGTTTACATCATCAATGTTGATTTAAATTGACCAATAATTCGTGTTTTCGATGTCGAAGATTTTGGAGGATTTTGAGTTACGGACTTAGTTCCTTTAAATCAAAGCAGAATAATATCAGAACAAGAGTGTTGTCCAAAATCAGTACCGACTTCAAAAAATAAGAACTGGACCTGACGAAAATCATGTCTGAGTAATATCCTCTTAATCTTAGCTCTACTCTAGCATGGAAATTCAAAATTTTCTAAACGGAAAAATAACTAACTAAAATGGGGTTTGCCGTCCTATTGTTCTGCACTGACTAGGATAATAAAGACTGACATATGCCATACACTGTGCTATGAGGGTAATTTTCCCCAGACAGCAGAACAATCTCATATCAAATTCAACGGTCAAGGGTTCTTTTATGTGTACACCAATGTATACACCGGACCTCGATTTTTTATCTCATCCGAACAACTATAGGTTTCCCTTGCTAGACATGCACCACAACAAAAAATCCTGATGAAATTCTCGGCCAACTCTGGGATCGAACACGAGACCTCCAGGATAGCGAGCCAACATCTTACTCGCTGAGCCACCATGGCTCCTATACTAAAGGGCTAAATGTGATTAATAGTATGATGTCATGCTGTGTGCATTACTAAGCATAAGCCATAAAGTGAACCGTATTTATATAAGCAGCGTAAGTTTTAACTCTGATGATCCATGTATTCATGCTTAGACATTAAAATACAACCTACATTTACCTGATTGGCTTGAGGAAGGCACTCGAGCACACTGAGCATGAGCGTTGCACTACCCTCGGGATCACCAGGCAGACGCACACTTAGTGCATCTAGTAGCATTTGATAGAGGGCGTTGGTAAACAATGGTTCAGGAAGCTCTCGTAAATAATCTTTCAGAACACCTGCAAAATAAAGAATTAAAGAATCGATTAAAGATTATCACAAGATTTTCCAGAACAAGTTTTGTAGTCGTGTCAACTCCTAGACATTTTATGCTGCATCGCTGTATTTGTGATGTTTATGAAAATAACGTCAATATTGTTAGCAAGTAATGTGATTTAATGTATTTTCAAGTTGAAGTAGGTATCTCGAAAATATGACTGGTAACAATTAAGCTTCCAGAGTTATTTTGAAGAAGGAATCTCGAAAATATGCATTTATTCAAGTGGAGAAAACATGGACGTAAATAATAAACACTGAGTAAAATATTGTTGTACAATCACAATGGAATTTAGTTTAAAGGTGCCTTATGTAAGAGCTAAATCTGTCTCTAGGTCTTTCTTTTGGCTTCCAATTAATCAAATGTTACATAAATCATTATTTAGACATTCATTCACAAGGCAAGCCAAAAAATCAACTATCTAGACCACTGAATGGTCAAGATTTAAATGGATTTGAATTTAAAAATTTGACGATAAAATGGATAATTGAGGCTAAGTCTTGGTTGTCAAGTACCATTGCTACGATAATAAACAATGTACACTACATGTACATGTTCAAGCAGTCATAGCTTCGCCCAGAATAAAGTAATTTGAATGAAATTTTCAATATACATATATACAATTTTCATTATCTAGTTTTGAACTATTATAGCAAGAACGGTCATCCCTTTAATCCAAATCCAAATCTTACATACATGTAATGTATCTTTATAAGAAGAGAGAGAGAGAGAGAGAGAGAGAGAGAGAGAGAGAGAGGGGTTTAAGGTCCACTGACACAAACTATGTCATTTCGGGACTAACATATGGTTCAATTTTATTTCAATACTGTGCTTGCCCGTAGGGATCTTTAGCAGTGGGAGGAAACCGGAGAACCCGGAGAAAACCCACGAGGTTGGACAGGCGACCCTTCTCCTTGTCGCATACAACCGGGGATTCGAAACCCCGCCAGCTAACTCTATGACAGACTTTATGATACAGTGCGCACATGCTACAAGTTCGGCCATCCCCCCCCCCCCCCGGTAGGTATGGCACTGGCTCACTAACCAGATGGTCTTGGATTTGATGGATGGTGATGACGGATACTCAGGATTTTCCAATCTGGTTGACCCTTGTCAGTGGTGCCGGACAGAGAACCTATAGCAAGGAACAGGAACTAGTTTGAATGGGTGGAAGGAAAACCACCATAGTCCTGTGTAAAAGAACCTGTCGCGGTTGGAACTCCATATAACAGTAGGCAGAAACGCAGCTGTCCTGGCTTACTGCATGATTTCGTATTATCTTCAATAAACAAAACTGGGATCAAACCAGCAATCACCTCATTATTGAGCCAGTGCCATTCTCCCTGAACCACTGTGGCCCCCATGGGAGTTACGAGCACAAAGGGTTAATGAACCTGTACTGATATATATCCATTGTATTGTTGTTATGTAAATGTATGATATACATGTATGAGTGAGTGGTTAAGCAGACAAGAATGTATAAATCAATACTCTATGCAGAAGGCAACTAGCAGAACAGGAATGTCAAAAATTTAATCATTTTACAATTATCAATGAAGCAGAGAGGATGTCTTTCATGAATCAATATTAAAACTATATATCATTTCCTTTAACTTCATCATCCATGATTTATTTACAAATTACTGCGGAATAGTCAAAAATCAATACAGAAGGTAAAAGTCAACTCCTTCGTGAGAAATTTGCCATAAATTACAGAATTATTTCTTATCATTGAAGCATGATATCTTGAAATATTACGTTACAGTATCCACTAGGGTCCTTCCCAAACATCCATTTTGAATTATAATAATTGATTAAATGCAGGTTTTAGATCAACATTTTTGATACAGTAATTAAGTGTGTTATCGTTTAATCTCTTGTTTCCAATGAAATCAGTTATATATTAATAAAATTTTTGACACTTTTATCATTAATTCTTTGATTTAACTGGGTTGATTGATTGATGTGTTACAGAGTTTAATATATTTTTTAGAGCTAATTACCATAAATTTCATATCTCTAGATATGTTTAAATCCTGATAATTTGGGAGCTTTTTGAAATATTTTAAAACAATTATATATTTTTTGGCATTTTGGCATCAGTCGTTTATGAGAAGATTTTTGCCTACATGTAACATCAGCGATACAGTTTACTTATATTTTGAATTCCAACTGCCAAGATTTCTTTTACATTTACATGCACGGCAAAGCGTAGACCTACACAGGACCTTGGTTTTAAATCCTATCCAAACAACAAGGCAATTTTCCTTGACCAATATCGAGATTGAACCCAGGACCACCTGGTTGGTTATTGTCTTATATAGGGATTGTAGCTACCTTAAGGTTATTTGGAGACTAATTATTCTATGCAATTGGTTATTCTATCATATATCATGCTGGTATAAAGATAGGTTGCCAGGTAAGGAACCATATTACCAACTAAAATGCAAATTAGAGAATATAATATATACTGTCATACACATACCTGTAATAACATGGATGTCTGAAATATTTTCAGCTGATAAATCCACACCCTCTGCATTTTTTTCGAAAGCCTCCCTCAACATGGCTTTCCGTCTGGCTGATCCACATAAACGATAAATACCTATTGTTTCCAATCCCCGTCGTTCAACCTCATCAATACATTTCCGCACAAGAATTGGAACACACGGTGCACATAATCCAGTACTCTCACGTTTTATCACGGTTTCAAGTTCCACGCCAAATAAACCATTTTTCCGAACAGACGGTAGTCTTTGTAAAGATATAGCAGGTTCTTTATATAACAGAGTTAGAAAGAGAATACCTTTGGGTTCCATCTTTATTGCCACAAATTTTTTCTGCCCACTTTGTACGTATCCGGGCAGAAGAACGGAGCCGTGAAAACACAGACGATGTTTATAATTAGGATCCCAATGGTAGATCAGAAAAGAAACTTCCTTGGAGTCTTCCAAATCCACGTCAAAAGCCTCGTCCCAATCAAAGTTGATAGCACCAGTGCGAATCATAGTCCGAGCTTTATTTACAGAATCTACAGCCACGACACAGTATAGATCACGTAATGTGGTTTTTGAAGATTTTAACCCCTGACCCGACATAATATGAATCATGAGCAGCCCGTCTAATCCAGATATTCGACTTATTTCCACACGTTTTCTTATATCTGCCTTGTACGGCTCAAACTCGCTATAAGGTATATGCAGAGGTTTTTTGGTGAATTGTAAATCTTTAAAACGCGATGGACGTATGACACTGGTGTCAACACTTTTAGAACGTTCACTAAAACTAGCTTGTGAGGTAGAAAGCGGCAGACCCCCGCTTAATATTCCGCTACGAGAGAGGGGTAAGACGTTTGCGTATCGTGGCTCCCCACTGTCTGTTGAATCATCCATTTGATATGTTCTATAAACCAGCGGGGAATCCTGACTGGTTTTGCGTTGTAATCGAGGATGTATACCCGGAGTTTGAGTGGAGGCAGCCCTTCGTGATGGACCAGGTGACCCTCGACCAGAGGTTAAAGGTCGTTGTAAATGATCATCTGATAAATTTGCTTCAGGACGAGGCAAAGACATGACTGATGTTCCTGAAAAGATATAAATAATATATTAGGATGTAAAAAATTTGTTAAATAATTAATCTTGAATTGGACTGTTGTGTTCCAGTGTCATAACCAGAGCCAAACGGTCTGCCAGTGGCATACACAACTCCTGTGCTTCTTGTCCCAAGGCAACTAGACGCATTTCCTTGGCAGGTAATCTTTCCTGTACCACTGAAAACAGGAGATTCCTGAATTAAGCTTTCTCAGCCAACACTCTATAAAAATCAGAACCTCTTTGTCAGTGAGCCACGCTAATTAGTGCTTGGTTTTGCCACTGCAGTCACAAAACGATACATATTACGATTCATGTGCTACGATACGATTCATATCAAGATTTATAACCAGGTCAATATTTACCAAGAAAACAACAGGATAAACGAATAATTGATATTTTTAGTCCTGTCGATGTTGAAAAAATCAAACTTGTCTAATATCACAATATTGATGTGGATCAAAATAAGGACCAAAACAATTTAAGAGTGTTTGTGTACCTGTGGATAATGTTTGATACAGATAATTAAGAGTGATGGGTTACTTACTGAAGGGACAAAAAAACATAAAAAAGAATCACAATACAACAATTCAGTACGTGAATCATGAAAAGGTGAATTGCAATACATTGATTTAATGATATATCGTGCCAGCATAGTAATGGTACCATTTCATTTCATTACATAGAAGCATATTAGTGGTACATATACATGTAGCTTTAATCATAATTTAGGAAATGGAATATTTTTGTTTAGTGCTATACATGCATTTTACTGTAAACTGATAAATGAATAGATCTGGTAAATTTATTGATTTCTGAAAAGTTCAGCAGTTGAACAAAGTCTATTACAATTCAAATCATCATATCAAATCAAATAAGAGTTTAACGTCCTACTGTTCTGGACCAACTGGGTTAATAAAAACAGGCATACGGCATACAGTGTGCTATGGTGATGGGGGAAATTTTACCTGGACAGAGGCACTACGACCAACTGTCACAGGTTATTCACGCCAATGTGTACATGGTACACCTCGGTTTTCCATCCCATCTGAACGACTATACGTTGTCCCTTGTCAGGTCTTCTGTCATGCACCACTGACAAAGGGGAAACACACTGAAAAACCCTGATCAACTTTATTGATCAACACTGGGATCCAATATGGGACCTCCAGATTAGCAAGCCAAAGTCTTAATCACTGCGCCACATAGGCTCTCTGATCATAGCAAGTAATGACAATATTGTTGTACGTATATGTCCATTATTTATTATGAAACTACATGTATCCTGTATTTATACAATACTGGCATATATATATGTTAGCTAAAACCTTAAAGATGTACATGTACTCCCTCAAGCTTAATTGGGTCATCTGTTCGACCCCCAAAACTTATTTCTATCTGAAAATATATTTCTAATGATCAGGAAAATTATCATAGAGTGTTAACCACAGAGTTGGTTTTGCTATCTTGGCCTACGCATTACTTAAATGTTACTCTACATGTATGTAACACCGGTTACTACAGGTAACCCCAAGGTTGTAATACATAATTTTCACTACATTAAAATTTCTAAACCGTCAAAAATGTTTCCCTTGAAATATATCAAAAGATGCATTTATTTCTTTGGTTTAAATGTATTTAGAATTGCAACAATCAATGAAATATAATTCCCCCACCTAAATCTTATATTTAATGTCTTTATAGACCTTAATGTCTTCTATAACACATGTCAGTAATTCTAGTAATGTATGAACTTTAATAATAAAGAATTATGGCACACAATATTTTGAAAAGGAATCCAATAATGGCATTGATGTACATGTACTCTATGTACTTATTATTCCCCAGTCTAAATCCTCTTATATACATAATGTCTTTATTGACCTTAATGTCCTCTATAAAATTGACTTTCACTAAGTCAATGGTTCCCGTAAGTTTAATAAGGAACAAATGAAATGGGTTTAACATCCTATTTTTTTGCACCTACCGGGCTAATGAAGATGGGCATACGCCGCGTATTGTGCTATGAGGAAATTTTGCAATTGAATTCCAACTATCAAGTGTTCGTTTATGTGCACAGGATCCTGCCAGGTCCTTCGTCCTGCATTGCTGAAAATGCGGAACCACACATTAAAAATCATGATGAACTTCGTGGTCAACACTAGGAAGGAACAAAAACTCCAGGTTAGCAAGCCAGTGCCTTACTCACTGAACCACTGTGGCTCTTGAAGTGTAATTTGTACTTACACACATGTACATACATGTATGTTATTTAATTATTAACTTGTCGTGGTACATGTAAGGCTATTCTAGGACTATACTTGTAACTAGTACCAGTAAGATTAATAAGGACTTATATATGGTACTACTGTATAGTAGTACTAGTAAACTAGTACAGATAACTTTAATAAGAATGGTACTATAGTAGTAACTAGTAAATTTAATAAGGACTAAGTACTATAATATTAACCAGTAACTTTAATAAGTACTATAGTATTAACTAGTAACTTTAATAAGGACTATAGTATTAACTAGTAACTTTAATAAGGACTTTTTACTATAGTATTAACTAGTAACTTTAATAAGGACTCATAGTATTAACTAGTAACTTAATAAAGACTTATTAATATAGTATTAACTAGTAACTTTAATAAGGACTTATATCACTATAGTAGAAACTAGTAGGGCTAACAATACTCAACTATGAACTAACCACAAATCACCAATATGGGAACATTTTGCATTAAAAATGCCAGATGGAATACCTGTGGCTAATAATTTGACGTGGCACAAATTAATTAAATCATGTACTTGTTTTGGTTTTTTTAATGTAAATTTGGAAAGAAAAAATACAGCGATATGTATCATATGGTGAGGTCCATACCGTGATACGTATCATATTGTCAGGCTAGCGTATTGTTGCAGCCCTAGTAACTAGTAAGTTCAATAAGGATTAATAATAGTACCGTAATAATAATAATTGTAATTTAATTAGCAAGTGGCCTTCCAGGCTGGGTAGAAAACTATGTTAGACCACCGACAGACCCACTGTGAGCCTTTATATCCAAAGACTTTTTAGACAATTGATGCAACCACGGGTTATTGTCCTCCATCAACTTCTCCATGTACCTGTATCATATAATATCCGTCAAAAAAAAAAGCTTTGGTGGGAAAAATCAGACATTTGCCATTAAATTAAAATTTATTCCAGGTTGATGGACAGGTATTAGATTCATCATATAAAAATCTATTCAATATTGATTTCTGTAATAAATTTATTATGTCACAGTGACTTAGCTCACATATATGCATTATCACTTTCATCTAGAAAATACAAATCTTTATAAAACAAATAAACACAGACTCCTCCGTCTTTCAACTATATATATACTTATTGCAGCCTACGGGCATTACACTGGCATGAACATATATATCATGTCTTTTGTACATTCCTGGCATATTTTAATATGATCGCATCTGTATCATAATAATACTTTCTAATTCTACACTTATTTAATATAAAACTATCTGATTTCATTGTATAGTCAAATAACAAAATCACAATTGTTCCCCTTTAATTAAACAAAAAAAATAAAGTTTGAAATCAACACCTTTAAAAGATGTAATGTCATTGCACAATTGTGATGACTCATTTACCTATTTAAAGAACCGGGACCTCATGTCTGTATTCTCATTCATCCAGTACATTTTTGTAACTGAATTAGCTTGATTATCTAGTTTAGTCTCTGACGTCAAGATCTGTTTAGTAATAATTTATAGGTAAATCAATGATTCCATAGCAACCTAGTAGAAGTCTTGTACAACTAATAAAATTTTCTACATTAGATAGATTATCAAGATAATGCCAAATGCTTAAACACTGTTAACTGATGTCCGAATTTGTCTGTACACCGAACCGGTAGTCGGATTCTCAGCGGCATGTCAAGATTTAATACGATAGAAAAATACGCTGATCTCCATTGAGAACTATAAATTATTAAATTCCGTTTGATGAAAGTATTATTGGTCGCTCATGCTGTGAATTCTGATTACAATCAATAGAAACATAAAACTCAATTTAACTGTATGTGGGTGATTTGTTCTAACAAAACAAATCTTCAATCACTGACTCATAATCCAAGAGTTACAATTTATACAAATAGTCATTTTTTGTATTCAGGTACTGTATTTGATACAGTGCTGGAATTACATACAGTATAGGCTTGACAGTCTTAGAATATTAGATGGGAAGAGTGCTCTAGGTCTTTGAGTCTGTTCAAAATTTTTCCCATCCAGCAATTAGAAGGAGTGACGATGTAGTTAAAACGACATAGATGTACTATGAACGGAATTGATGTACAACAGAATTGTTGTACTTCGATCCTACTAGAGACGTTTTACGACATGGCACGGTCGAGAAACAATTTAGCAGTAGTTAGAAAATTATTTTTTTTGTGTCCTTATAGGCCTCAAGATTTTTGTTATAGAGGACTTTAATGGCCTTGAGCTACATGTATTCCACCATTCCTTTTTCTTGTTCAGGGGTGAGATGCGTGTGAGTCTTTGACGTCTTGGTTTTCCTCAAGGACTTCTGCTGCTCTCCATCATATACTGAGGCAGAAGAGTGTGGAGATCTTGAGGGTCCGGGGACAGGCTCAGCAACTTGGGCCTGATCTTGCTAGCCTTCAGAGCAGCTCTAGATTGGGGATCTTTGGGTAGTACTAGTGGCGGCTTTCCCCCAGGCAGTTCTTCTGGAACTTCTCTTTGGAGGCATGATGAAACACACAAAGGAATTGTAGTACTATATATTTAAATGTGTTTATCTGCGCAGCTTGAAGCATTGAAAGGAAATGAGGAAAGGTACACCCAATAGGAGATGATGATGAGTTGGACTGTCCCTGAACGGGGTGGTCGGGTTACAAACTAGTTAGAACTAGATAAATACAGTTGTGGATGTACATCTATTGGGAACGAGGTAGAACTAGTTACCAAC